TTTTGTCTTGTCACGAGCGTGGGACATAGAAAAATTCTGAGTCCCCATGAGGAATTGGACCTCAGACCTTCGGATTCCGAGCTCCGATGCTCTACCACTAAGCCACAGAAACTTTATGGTGAGCGAGGTTTACTACGAAGTTCATATGTCACGCGTCCTGCATACTGCTAGGATCATCAATGTCGATAGCGTCATGTTTGTGAATAGAATACGTGTCATATGAACTTCGTAACAGACCTCGCTCACCGTAGAGTTTCTGTGGCTCAGTGGTAGAGCATCGGAGTGCGGAATCCGAAGGTCTTAGGTTCGTTTCCTCATGGGTTTCATATGAACTTCGTTACATTTTTCTTATTCTATTTACAAACATGACGCTATCGACATTGCTGATCCTAGCAGTATGCAGGACGCGTGTCATATGAACTTCGTAATAGCCCTCGCTCACCGTAGATGGTAGAGCATCGGAGCGCGGAATCCGAAGGTCTGGAGTTCAATTCCTTTTGGGGACTCAGAATTTTTCTTTGTCCCACGCTCGTGACAAGACGAAAAAATCTTTCTCCATTTCTTTACCGAGCTCAAAACTTGCCATCTCTCTTATCCTTTTTACTTATGGATTTGTAGACAAATTATTCTGCGATTTTCTTTCATAATCAAGCTAACTTTGTCCATGATATGCAATAAAACCTCACCTTGTCTGAATTTCAGTTTGTCTTTAATTTATTCCAGTCACTAGTGATGGAACAGTATCAAGAGAAGACGACACATCTCCTCTCACTACCAGTCACAATAGATTCGAAGTGGTACAGGTCAATGCACTTACACCACAAGATATGTTTCACACTGCGTCCGCTGTTCAAGGGACACCGTCATACATCATACAAGCGCCTGCAGGACAGACCTACATCATTCAGCAGCCGGCTGGAAGTTTAGTGAGGCAGGCGCACACGGGAGAACTCACCTCAGGATCTGACGGAATTGATACTAGTCAACATGACCAGGTTATTGGTAATTTTTCGCAGACTAAGTACATTCTCGTCTAAGAGCCACTCGTTTTTTACAAACTGTAGCCTTTCGCTCGTTTCTTCTACCACGTGACCAAAAAAAGCAAAGACTCTGGGATCGAGAGTTAGTCTTGAGTCACAAGGCAGTTTTGCATGGATGCACAGCGGTATATTGTCTGCGCATATGCAAACATTGAAACTGCTGAGCAAAACAGATAGAGATGAAGTATACCGGAATTGCAGCATTAGACGGTCTTAAAGAAAACGTACACCTTTTTGGTACGATTCAAAACAAAATGATAAATCACCGGAATTCCAGTAGCTAGATAGCCTGAGTTCAAAGAGTCAAGCGCATGCCCGACGTTGACCGTTGTATTCTTAGATTCGCCCTTGTCTTTACCCTAAAGTCTAACACAGAGATTTCTAACAGTTCTCCTTCAAAAATAGCCTCGTTCAAGATTAACTGAGCTTTAAATGTAACTAAAATGTTTTAAAAGATCTTGGCATAGATTGAATCGAATACTTATTTTTCGTTGTAGGAGGTAGTGACTGTTCTCCAGGCCCATCACGCCGTTCAAACCCTCCCAGAGGTTGGACCCGAGTTTACGCAAGCCATTGTACAAACAGACATTTCCGGTCCCATTACAGCATCGGAACTTACCAGCGCAGGTCTAAGTCACACGAAGTTTGTAAAACCTGCTGCCGATTTGCAAACATCTGTGGTGTCACAGGGCGATGGTAGTCATGCCACAGTCGACCAGACCAGCCTAGAGGCTGTCCAGACTGTAGACACCCGTCAGTTGGGAGGCCACCAGAGTCTGGTGCAAGATGAGCTCCAGGTGGAAGCATCCAATGCGAAAGAAGGTGGGAGCGAACAGACTGCTTTGCCGCATCACCCAACATCGGATAGAGACGAGGATAGCAATGTAGCTAGCACAAATCAGGCTTTCACCAGTCCTCCATTTCAGGGTAGGTGTTGTTCTACGCTTTCAAAACTTAATTCGTCGCCTGTTCCAGGCGTTTATTTAGTAAAACGAAGAGTGACAGTAAACGGCGCACAAGTAGCAGAGGAGTGAAAAAACGGGAGAGGTTTGGGTCGGGTCGCGTAATGAACACATTACTTACCCGACTCGACCCAAGCCTCCTTCGCCTTTCACTTCTCCGCTACTATCGTGCTTTGCTTTTTCGCTCCGTTTTACTAATCGAATGCCTGAAACAGGCTACTTAATTTGAGATTCTCCCCTTTTTGCCGTTAATTATAGCAGGGCTGCAAGCACACCTCTTTTTAAAGTCGGCATGTCGCGAAATAACTTGTCCTTGTCACAGGCAAGGCAACCCTAACCCTAAGCTCTAGCTTATCGTCCACCTGCGTAAAGCCTTACTAAACATAGGTAGAATTTGCAGTTTGTGAAGACTGGAAGGTAGCATCAAAGACTAACGGATCTCGGACAGAAAGTAAAATAGATGTGATAAGACGAACAAGTAGATCGGTGCACTTAACCTCTAACAAACATTAAGAGCGTACGCGCAGCTGCAAATCGCTTGACAGTGCAATGTAAACTTATGCTAATTTTGGATCAATCTCAGGATTTAAGCAGCTGCGTACCCACCCCTCCCCTAACCCAACAACATTTACCGACAGATACCAAGTTAGGGTTAAAGTTGGGTGAGGGGAAGGGACGGTGCGCTGTTGCTCAGATACTGACTTTGATCCCAATTTTATGTATGATGTTTAAACCTTTCATGCGTGTGTTTTGCCTCTAGGTCCGGCGGCAATCGCCCAGACGTTAGACGGAACACACCTCCCAGACAGGCCAGTAGTACGCATGCATCAAGTTGGCCCGGAAAACAGGGACGTCATCGTCAGCCCAGATCCCTTGGGGGACGTACACGTCACAGTTATGTCAAACATAGAGACAGGTCTTCCTGCTACTTTATCGCCATCACCCGCTATGACACTTCCACAGCATACTCTAAGCCGCACTAGCAATGCCAATGAGTTATCTGTGAACGTAATGGTTCCTCAGGTCACTCTACCAGACGAGATACTTCAGTCGCAGTCAGACGAACCTTCTGTTTTATCCCCAGCTGAATCGACTAATGTGATGATGGTTACCGAAAACCCCATGTCCGTCACTTCGACTCTTCCCTCTCAAATCCTTCAGTCACAAACTGATGAAAACACGAACCTGTCCGACCCCACCCCCACGTCTAACAGTACCGTTCCTACTGGAATAAGTGTTGATGGCCCTCTCGGCAATGTGGTGACTGTCCAGGGTGCCCTTGGGCATCCGGGAGATATTATGGATGCCAGTGATGTATTGCTGCATATTTCATTGCCTATTTCCGATCCGTCTGTTACTTCAGAGAAGCAAGATTGTTCTACAGAAACCTAAACTTCAGAGATTCATCCTTTTACCCACAAGATCTAAATATAAATTCTCAGCTCTGTCTTCCACACATTTCTTTAATTTAAGCTTTGAGAATTTAGCAATAAATCAAACACCCTCAGGGTGATATTTTCTCCCATCTCACTGCCTTTCTACTCTAAAATCTATTTATATTGCAAAGAGTAATTTTTCTTTTTGCCCACCTCTGGGAATGAAAGGATTGCCAAACCTGTAAGGAGGCTCCTTAAGCATCCAAACCACATAACTTTCTAGTAAGACATTAGCTTTTAACAAGTGAAGAATTTAAAGGACTTGCTGTGCGAGAACAATAAAAATAAATTCTGGTGACTCAGAAAGTTTTGAATTAACTTTTTTACCTTGTAACGTCAGTAGGCGTATGTTCTCCACACTTTTCTGTACAAAGTTCCTGTAGTAATGACAAGAAAAATTTTGTGTAACAATCAAGTACTTCCACAGTTGAAAAGCATTTCCCCTGAGCCGATTATGTATGATGTCTGTGTTGAATGCGTGAATCTAGTGAAGGTACTGGTTATTTATTACTAACGCGAAGAAAACATGAATGTTCTGGTCATACTGATTCTTTTACTGATCTTTGTGGAGACCGTTCCAATGGCACCTTCCTCTCATCCGCGTTTTCAAAGTTGCATAGAAACTTCTGATTTATACCGCGTGCTTAGTTAGTTGACCTGGGATTGGAACCACTACTTCCGGTACCGCGGCTGTAAGCAGTCATGTATTACTTGAAAAAGAGATTTCGTGACATGTAATACATGACAAAATTAGCTTTTTGGGTCGCATAACAATTTCATGGTAAAAAATCATTTCATCATCATCAATCATCATCACCAAAGGGGTAAGTTTCTAAAGAAACTGTGGTGCTGCGTCGGTGGGAGAGTATAGCAGGTAATTTAGTGTTAACAACTGGGTTGAAAACGTAAATTAACCATCATAAAGGGTAAAAAAGCTGACGTTTCGAGCGTTAGCCCGTCGTCAGAGCGATTGACGAAGGGCTAACGCTCGAAACGTCAGCTTTTTTACCCTTTACGGTGGCTAATTTACGTTTTCAACCCAGTTGTTAACACTAAATTACCCATTTTTTAATTAGTTTTTGAAAGCTCTCCTAGTGAGGGGGAAGATAAATTGTAATCTCACCGCATGAACCAGCATGTTATTCTGAAACAAAGAGAAGCTTGTGTTTTTTTTCCTCGTTTATTATTTTATGCACCCAGGAGCCCGGTTCCGATTACGCGTGACACTCGCGAGTGAAAGGTTACGTGCCCTAGAATCAGCGCGTGTATTCTATGGTGCGTGTTACTCATACATGTTTCCGTGGATGTGGATAACGTAGGGTAACACTATTCGATGAATATATCACTTCGCAGCGAGGAACGTTGATAAAACAAAGTGCCCTATCTTCTGTATGACGGGTTACACATTAGAACATGTGTCAACCGTTCAAACAACCCTGGGAAAGAACTCGAGTGACACGCGTGCGCGAGAGCACCGAACTCAGGGGATAACTTTTCGTCGCGCACGTTTCTTGACCTCTCGCACGCGCGCGAGAAGGAGCGTCTTTTCTCAAGCTGCGTCGCTTTGGTTGGGTTCACAAACCATTTAATCTCATGTTATGGAACACAAAGCCTAAATAAAGAAACCGAATCCCTTACTTCCACCGTCAAAACGAACGTGTAGGTAAGTCAAATACGACTTTCCGGTGGCCTCTGTAGCTGTTGGGTAAAGCAAGGACGTGTGACCCAGGATGTTCTGGTTATTTGAGAACGATTTAAAAATCTATTGAACACTCTCAGCCTGCGGCTTTGGTTTTTAACCTTGGTTCTGAAACTGATCTCTTGTTCTCGTGTTTCGTATTACCAGAATAAGCTACAAGAAGGTCGACTTCATGCGCAAGCACACAACTAACCGTTCAGTAATTAGCCCGGACCGGTTTATCTTGTTTGAATTCCTGTCATATTGTGAAACAGACAACTTAAAGGAATAACGTCGAGAAGATTTCCGATTAGAAGTCTTGTATTTAAGGTAAGTACACTGATCAATGAGCAAAGTCATCTCGATTAGGCAGACAGAGATTTTACAGTGTCTGATCGTTATATAAGACAGGAAGGTGTCGCTTTTCGGTAATGCGCAACGTTATAAAAGTAACATTTGTTTTGCAGGTCAAGTTTCGACCAAGATTCTAATCTAACTTCGTCAAAACCTCATGAACAAATCTCCAAGGAAGAACATTTCAATTTTTGTTAGTTTATAATGAGATTGCTCTCGAAGAACTCAGAAAGAGAGGTGGATTTCGGAGAACTTCCCACTGCCCTGCTGGACGAGGATCACACTGTTATTGTTCTGACAATAGTAACAAGTTTGTTCGCGATTTCCTGCATTGCGCTGTTTTTCTATTACCACTGGAGAGTCAGTTGTTACCTTGTGGAAACACGAATTGGGATTCAAGGAAACGATTTTATTTATTTGTATTATTCAAAGCGTTCGTAAAGGAATCATTTGCCGAGACACTTTAATGAGGTTGACCCTGGTGGCCTGTAAACTTTGTCCGGTTAATCGGATCTGTTGCAAGATTTGTGGTTCTTCTTTGCTCATGTGACGGGCGTGAACTATATTTTTATGTCTCGTGTATAGACGATTACCACTTTAAATCATTTTGTTGCGCAAGGAACCATAGTATCTGATTCCCGTGGGGTAAACCCCCGTGTTTTCCAGGGGGATTTTGAAGTCATCAAGACATTGACAGACGAAGTCCCCGTGATGGTTGCCCCCTTAGGAGCCTACTTATGGCTCTTGTGAGTTCAGTGACTTCTGGGCCGGCTGACATGGGTGAACGAGAAAACTGATAATCAGAGCTTCTCAATGTGTTTTTGTGTAAGTATTCGCATGATTTCGAGTGAAATTTGAAATAACTTAGCCCGAGTAATTTTCCTTAAGGCTAACGAAATTGCGCGGGGCGATTGCAATTTTTAGTTTTTTAAAAAAAAAATAAATAAATAAATAATAAATAATAAAAAACATAAGAGAAAAAATGAGAGAGGTTGTTTACTCAAAATTGCTGGAGGAAAACCATGTGATAACCTGTTTGATTACCGTCCTAGTTCATTTGTGGCCTTTTGCGCAGGTTTGGTCCAAAACTTGTTTGACGCGAGAAGTGAGAGAGTGCTTTGCATTGCTATGCCTTATTGGCGAGCGTAATTGTTCCTTGGACAGAGTAAGCCACATAATCCAGTGTTATTGGAACTATTGTGCGATCTTTGCATGATTTTGGCCTGATTAAAGGGGCAAGGCTCATTGAGCGACACCAAGAGGGGTCTTTCGAAACCAACCTGGTCGCCTGATCAGTCAGGTGGATTTGGGTGCGAGGGAAAGGGTTCTCCACTGTCACGGAATTTTACGTGCGTTAAGCCCTTCGTCTGATAATATTTACGTGCTCTAGGCCCGGTGGGCTTGCCTTATGCTGACTTCGTGCACTTGAAATAAAATACAGCTAGTGAAGAGTCGGTTTTCGTCGGTGAAAAATGTAAAATGGAGTTTAACATTATGCGCTGACTTTTAGCCCTAAATACGATGTCGAGTATATTCGATCGTTTTATATATGTATCCATTTATTTATTTTTCGCAAGGTTGTGGAGGGCACGTGAAGTTTGATGTGTTCACGTGAGAGAGAACGAGTGAGTTAGGACAATTAGAGAACCAAGCTTTCCTTCTTGAAGTTGCGTGATCATAATTATGACAGTTGCAAATTGACTGGAAAGAAAAACATTTTCGTTTCGTCGGCTCAATCATTCAAGTAATTTAGGAAAACTTTCGCCAAATTTTAGAATTTCCTTTTCAGTGACATATTTGGAGTAAATTGGTGAACTTGTAACGAAGGCAAAACTTACACTAGGAATCCATTGGTAATGGGCTTTTGCATACATCCACTGTATTGGAACCTGCTGGAACAACGTGCGTTCAAGTTTAACCTCATGACTCTCCTACAGAACTTTCCTTGACAACTTCCTGTCTAAAAAGAGGAAAAACTTGGAAAGCAAAAGTGTGGCGGTCTCTCGTCATAAAAATTTCCTCTTTGAAAGTGATAGATAATTTTTGCGCTGCTTATTGCACGCAATGACAAAATGTTGGCAAAATTTTATAATATCGCACGTGCGTTAAGTCGCAAAAGTTCATAAACTGGAGTTACTTTCACGCAATCACGTGAAGCGTGACACTATGAAACTATTATGTACAATGTTCTCAAAGGCATAAGATTACTCACGCGATGTTTCGTTTTGAGAAGGAAAACGACAAAAACACGTTGCCGTTCTTTTACTTTCAAATGAGATGTGAATTGTCTGGATGTTTTTTTTTTCTTTTCCTGAAAGCGGCATGTTTGTCCCCACTGCAGCCGGTCGCGAAGACAAATTATCGAATGTAATTGGATGGAAAATTCTCGAAAGATACAACTTATTTAAAGAACAGGGAAATACCAGGCCCAAAATCCCAACCCCGCCCCGTCTTTCCGTCCAATCTGATAGTATTTTTCTAATTTTCAAGTGAATTATTTGTACTAGGGGAGGGGGGGAGGAGAGAGTGAGATTGCATGAGGAGTAGATTTTTCAAGTCACACACCGGTAGATGATTAATTTTTTGGCTCTTTCCCAAACTTTAGAAAACATACATAGATTTTTATTTCATATTTCTATCTTGTCGTCACGTAAATTTGACTCGATCGGGCCCTTGATTCGTTTCACAAGTCATTTGAGTTTCTTCCCACTCATCCCCAATCCCTCCTCCGCTAAACGTATGGGTTTTCCCTGAAGTAAAGCAATTAACATTCCATACGAGCCTTTCTGAAGCATCTTTTCAATCACAAACATGTTTGAAATTTTTTGTTTCTGAAGCTGAGAGCCGAGCACGAAATTTTTCTACAAATAGCCCAAGGAGTTTTTCTGTGGTAAAGAAAACTTTTACTGAATATTATCTCTGGAACAACAAGAAGTCTTGTCGAAATTTCAAGGAGAAAAACTTGCGCAAAGTGGTCGTTCGCAGGAACAGAATCGTGAATGTTTTGAACTGACCTTGCGTAAAAAATGCTCAAATTCTTTAGCGTTATTTTTAGAACTGCTCTTGTTCAATAATAACTTTAGTCATCATTCGCGAAACAAAATAACTTTGCACGAGGTACCAAAAATTGCAGTTGAGTAACTGTCCATCAACGACACGAACAAATTATTTAAGGAAGCAAATTTTTTGCAACGTTGAAATTGTTGTATGGAGACATCTGAAGCAACTTTTCTGATTCATACCTGCGTAACCGTATTTTTTTTTGTTTTTTGTTTTGTTTTGTTTCCATGTTTCCAATTCAAATTTATTCATTTTTGAAACTTGCTAATTTGCTATTTTGTTTCCTGAAATAATTACGCTTTCGCGTAAACAATCACACATTACTGCATAAATTTTGTTACTTCGCTAAAACCTACTGAATTAGCCCAATGCTTTAATTGGGTTTAAGAACAAAACCTAGAACTTTCGTTTGTTTTGCTACATCACTCTGTCGCCAATTCGCGTGGAAACTTCAATTAATCCAGTTTGTATACTGTTAAGAGATTTCTGTTCAAGAAATGAGATTATCGCTGAAAAGAATTCGTAACAATACACATCAATAATAAAGATTATAATTTATTTTAAAAGGCCGAAAGCCGGATTATGATAAGATCTGAGTTTTAATCCTGGTGATCCAACTGAACAGTGAAAAATCTTTAACCACTCCTTCAAAAGCGGTTTTCACTTTTATAGCAAATACTTGATTAAATTAAGTCTTTCGGAGCTTTTGAAACATTTCTACAAGTATTTAGATTACGCGGAGCGTTGCACCGCGAATTTAATTACAAGAGAGAATTGGATGTTTAACATTTCGCGTGTGCCATAAAAATAAATCTCGGTATTTATCGATAAAAATCACCGAATAAGTCATTAAAACATGGTATCTGTTCTCATTCAAACCACCATTCTCCTGGTAGTCTTTTTATAGATTAACGCAAATCACAGGGCAACAACCTTCCTCAATCCCTTAACCCCAAAAGACAAACACCAAAATTTCAATTCTTCACAATTTTAATATTACAAAAGAAACTTTTGTGGTTCTCATCAATTATAAAAAAAGTTTTAACAATGTAAATTATTTTCAGATTAAAATTGGAGTACTTAGATGCTTCTTAAAACTTCCTTTGAGAGATCTAAAATTTGATTGCATTGAGAAATAAGACGCACAGCAAGCTATTTATCTAATCTGTGACTAAAATTGTCTCCTGCAGTGACACAGTGTTAACTCTCCGAGAGAATGACATTATTGTAACTTTTCTTTCATAAAAACAAGTTGGAATAACATCATACAGACAGGCACTTTCACTTTCAAAATTTTACTTTGGCTTCACTACACTGTAACTTGCAGCAATTTGTCTGTTCTCTGCACTAATGTTTTAAGCCAGTTACGTAAAGTAAAGCTTATTTTCTTCTTATCAAGGCATGCAAATAAAATTTGTCAAGTGGGCATAGTCAGACAGGATATAGCAAAAAGGAAATTTATCCTGAAACAAACATTATCTGATAAAATTGATGAAAAGAGAGATTATCTTTTAACCTGCTGAGTGCCAGCTTGACTCAAAGCAGACAATTCAATTGCTTCAAGCACATCAATTATTTTAAGCATTTACATGTACATGTTAAAAAATAATTTGAAAAACACACTCTAAAAAAATTCTCTTCCAATCACTCCACATCCTATGCAATAAACAAATCTACCTCAGATTTCAAGTGATCACTCAAAACTCCTTGTCTTTTCAAAATTGTTTTCAAAAATACAAAAATATGTTATCTGTTAATAATTAAAATGACTGTAAAACCTAACCACTCACTCACATATTTCTCATAAAAATTATTTCATTGCACAAAATAGATTGCATTCAACTTTCCTGAAATATAAAAGATAATTGAAAGCACCAATATTCCATCAAGCCGTGACCCAAAAAGCCATAAATAATATTGCAGTTTCAGAAGCTTATAAAAACAATATTAATAATAATGGAATAGTTTATCTATATAGTGAAATTTTTTATAAACATAAAAACACTCTCTAGAAACATAATTTATGCATGTCTACATTGACCAAAAATATTGAGAACAACTGTATACTTCCTCTCAATTCCAGACTTTGTTAAATTACCCTCAACTATCACTGTAATTTAAAACCTGAAATATTAACAATCCGAAACTGATGACTGTTAATGGGCATCTAGCGCAAATTGCTGTGTGGTAATTGTGGTACAGATTGTTGCAGAAGCAATATTGCAGTGTGCGTTAGCTATATCATAAAAAAACCTGCCTTAAATGTTGCATGCAACTGTACCTCTTGCAAACTATGACTTATAAAAATCCTATATGATAGGTACACTGAGTTACTAGAGACAGTCTAAGATTTTTTTTAGTATGTTGGCATGCAAACATAACCTAAAAACTGAAAAACTGCAAGATTATATTCAGTGACCCTATTTTCATGCACTTTACAAGACAACCTTTGATCTATCAATTATTTTCCACAATTTTCTCTCAATTGCTTTTCCATAGACCAATTGTCCAGACTCGATATAAAATGGTTTTCAACCTGGTGCCCAAAAATCAGTTAATGTTAGCATCCTGGAAAAAACATACATACAGTACCTCATCACACGCACATTCTTTAAAACTCAAAACAAGTTAAAATGAAAATTTGGTAACATGGCACAATATAAGCTGTGTAGTTAGCAGTTTTCATTGCCTTCATGACAGTTTGGTGCAAGAGCCATGAAGTGAGACAGTAAAATTTAAGGAAAGTATTTAAGTATTTAAGTCTTTTCCCATCTTTCTTAACTTGCTTTTTCTCTCTCTTATTGTCAAGCAACCAATAATGGTGCCACTGAGGCAGACAAAGAATTTTTCTCAGATCGATACAGAATTATTCTCAGATCTATACAGTGTGGTTGCACCATATTGCCTAGGCATTTGCATTGCCAGTGTTTCTAGAAGCTACCAGTCACCAACATGAAACAATTCACTCAATATACAATCAGCTGCCACTAAATTATTTATGAAGCCTGCAAGGGGCCGTACCAATGAAGTCAAATTTGGAGGCCAAAATATCATAAGTATCTGACTGTACACTGGAAAATATCAACATGCAATTATGCACAAAAGAAAAACAATAAAAACAAAAAAAAAGGATTTAGGCATTTTTCTAAAAAATTTCAAAATGTGATTGAATAATATGTGGACTGCATAATGCAATAATATTTTCACCTTGAGGTACATATCCACAAATGTCATGAAATTGAACTAGGAGACGTAGTTACGTTCATTCTCGAGGCTTCAGTTTAAGAGACCTCTCGTACAGATCCTCTTCTGACAAGAAATTGTCCATTCCTGCAAACAGTTGTGAAATCTGATCATTCCACTCAAAATCATAACTTGTAAGTTTAAACCGTCGCACATTGTCAACAATATTAAAAAGCTGCCACCTCTTCACAAAATTCACTTTGCCATCAGGCAGTTCATCTGCGTTACCATGGTAAACAAATGTGACATCTTGGAGGATGAGTCCAAGATAGGGAATGCAAGGTGGCTGTGCTTGTGCCAGTGCATCCCGATATGACCTGAAAGATGACGAGCTGTCAATCAATGTTGCATACTCTGCTAGATTCTCTGGCAAATTCTTGGGCCAGTTGAGTCTCCTCACTGCGGAACAGTCCAGCGCAGAAAGGATTCCAAAGAATGAGTTAAAGTCATTGAACCTCCGTAAATGCTTCATGATTTTCAGGAATTTAAGGTAGGCCTGCTCCCTGTCCTTCTGTTTCTCAAATGAGAGAACATGCGTACGACACCAATAGGAAACTTTGTTGAAGTGATCTGTAAAAATGCACAAGTTTGGTGATAGTTCCTCCTTTTGTTCCTTACCCCATGCAAGGATTTCTGGAATTTCAATGTTGTGGAAGTTCCTTGCATCAATTAAGGTGAGTTGTTTTGCAAGATCCTCAGCATTAAAATCCAACACTGTGTACCTCTGTGCTGGATCCATGGGGAGGGTAGGAGGAGTGTTGCTTGAAGGAGAACGCGACTTGTAGTAATTGTCACACTTTGGCAACATTTTGTCACGCAAAATCTTTCCAAGAACAATGTCTCCATTTACAAGAAGGCGATACACTTCTTTCATTAGCTGCTCCAAGATGCTTCTCTCAACTTTTCCAGTCAATTCATCAACAACTCTGAGAAGTAAGAAGAAAGCATTTTGGCTGGCTCTCTTAGAACCTTTCTCTCGAAACCTCCTCTCCCTGTAGAGGAGTTTGGTGATAAGATCCTTTGGAGAAATGAAAGTTCTATAAGTAGTGAGGAAAGCTTCATAATAAACCAGGTCTTTCTTTGTTGAACCACTGGCGTGGACAATGAGTGCATCAATAGCTCCACCGATGAGCGTTGGCCCATCGTCATCATTGCGATAGACAAGAAACCTCGAAACATCCAAACAATCGAGTGCAGGGGTATTGACGTCCTCATCTTCTGTTCCACTCAAACTGCTTGAGCTACTGCTGGTGTTACTTTGTTTCCGGCACCGTTCTTCCTCAAGTGGAAGTAGCTTTTTCCTTTGAGAATCTGTTCTGACATTTTTGTTCCAGTCGAGGGTTCCATTTGTTTTGATTTGGTGGGAAGGCGAGAGTTTTCCTGTACTTGCTTGCAAGGTGGGAAGAGAATGAGAACGTTCTGAATCTGCAACGTTTCGAAATGCAAACATTTCTTTATTGAGCACAGGTGAGGTGGGAGAATTTGCATTTGTACTGATGCTACGCCGAAAACTTTCCTGGTAACCATCATAAGCAGATGATGGCCGTTTTAAGATCCCATCAGCAGGCTGAGTGTAATTTCCAACAAGTTCAATGTACACTTGAAAGGATTTCTTTTTGGGTGTTGATAATTCATGATTCTCTATGTATCCCAGAAAAGAGGCTTGGATTATAGGGCCCTCTGGTTCTTCATGATCATCTGCAGAAAAGAATGATCCTTCTTCTTCAACAGAGCTTGATGCTGATAGAAATGCATGGCCATTGAATTCATCCTGAGAACTAACTGGTGAGTGCGGTAGCGAGCGATAGCTGGATGAATCGCTTGCCTGGCTGAGTGACCAGTCAGAGTTTTTTAAGGTGGCAGGATTGCGTTGATGGTTGTAATTTGATGTGCTCCTGAATGACTGCCTTCCTCGGACTGGAGGTTCAGGAGGGCTTAAGTATCCATTATGATGAGCTGTATCAGGTTGATCAAGGATGTAGTTATAAGAACCGCGACCAGAATCACGAGAAGTAGCCGGAGAAGCCCTTGAAGAACTGGAATCCTGACAAGCACTATCAACAAGACTCCCTTCGCTGATTCCCGAATCTCTTCGATTAGACGAATGTCCGTAGTCCGATTCACCAACTTGAATACTTTCACTGCTTCCTTCGAACATGAAAATCGAGTTTCGAATTTCATCATTTAGTTCCCGTTTTCTAAGCCGCGGAATTGCCAAATCCACTAATTCCTGCACGCTCGCTTCAAGATCTTTAACGCATTCGATTCCTTCTTCGAGATTGCCTTTAACGTTTCCTCGCACCAAAAGCTGATCGCTCCATCGAACTAGCTCTGCCATTCGTTTGTGAATTGATTTTCTGTAAGGTAACAGATCGCTGTTACTACTATGAAGTCGCAGACAGGTATCAAGCATATTGTCGATATTGATGATTGACTCCAACACGATCGAAGTGTTGTCCGGGATTTTTGCCATCACAATGTCCATGTTGCTCTTGAAATTGTTCAAAATAAGAATAAAATACTGAACTGCACTGCGTAGTTCTTTGTGGTACTGTTGAAAGGCTTCCAAATCACGTATTTGATTAGGCGATTTCACAACCGGTTTCGGTACATTCTGTTGATCGTCCACTACTTCTGGAGCGGAACGAGTGCTGGTTTCGTCATTACTACGCTTTCTACTTTGATTAAATGATTGTCTGCGTAGAATTTTCAAGATTTTTGGCTTTCGATTTGGACTTTGGGAAGGCGATTCACCATTTACTTTGTTAGACTTCGTCTCCCGTAAACTCATCATTCGCTTGATCGGAGATGCCATAGTTTCTGATTCTGCGTCAACTGAGCACTCGGCGATTTACCCGAGTAAAGTTATATCGTTATAATTTGCGATCGCCGCCAGCTTTGATCGATTTCTGGTCTGTATTTCGCACACAGTTTACAACAGTCGTACAAAGAATTTCCAAAGAGGATGAAATTCACACCACGTTGACACCTCAAAGATGAACACAACGAAATCAATGGTCGAGAAAAACCTCTGTGGCTTCCACTCTGACTAGTTACGTTAATTAAAGAATTGCTCCCCGCTAGAATACTTAGTGCCAGACGATAATTTCTCGAAGGTATTCTGGCGATTGCGATCGCAGAGACTTCCACTAACGTTGTCCGTAAACAAAGGGAACTACAAAGCTTCGTGATTCCAATCTTGCAAAGAATTCGGTCGCTTAATTAGTGTAGGATTTCAGAGTCGAATTTCGCCAAATATCTAGATATTGATTCTTGGTACAGGCTGTCACGTCGTTGTCATTCATGCCGCAAATGAGCTCCGATGATTAGTCATTACTCGATAAGATCTACCCCAGAGCGTGGATGCTAAAACCGGCATCTGCGCCGTCCAGAGCGAAAAACTATCTCCCACCGTATCCCGCAACCTGTTCGTCAATATAAGGGAAAGGAGAAGTTAAAGTGCTTTTTCTCGTGAAAAACAACACCTTTGTCGTTCGCAGGAAACGTGCACATGGACCGCTGACCTTTGTAATTAGCCAATTCTCGGCACGTGATTGGCTGGATGTGACATTAGTACTTGAGCTACTTGTATAATGAACACATAACACACATTTTAATGGTAAACGAGAAACTTAATTACTTGTTCATGTTTTAGTTCAGATTCCAAGGTTTCTGTTCGTGCTTTCTAGAGACGGACAAGAATTTGTCCGTTCCGACCGCCGGATGATAATTTACTTGGGACGATCTCCTGAAAATCTAGACGGATATGACGTCGCTTGCCGATCCCTTCTGAAAATCTAGCTACGTCAACCACCTAACTTTGACAATTAAAAATTTAGTTCGATTTTATCTTAAATTAGGATACATGCAAGGATTCGTTCCGACAATATTTTCTCTTGTGAAGTTTTTCAATCTTGGATGACAATAATCAGTAGACACTAAAAATATTAAAACTGTATCAGAATCGAAACGATCCAATACACGAGGTTTGGTAATCAAGGGTCGTTTTAAAATATTACAGCTTTGCGTTTGTTTCTTAACTGTCAACGATTCAAAGATGTTATCTTAAAAGGCTCGATTTGCTTCTTTCAGCGCCCAATCAAAGTTTAATGGCAACAAAATCAAAAACTGTACCCAAAAAGGTAATTTTCATCGCTGACATACAAAGGTTAACCTTGATCTGTGATCTGTTACCAAGCACGGAGTCCGTGATATATTAATCTCGTGTGGGATTAACGAATGGTCTTTTAAAATGATAATAATAATAATATCGGTTCAATGGGTACTATTTGTGGTTTTCGACGCAAACCGAAACATGCACGGAATTGAAATTTCTTAAAATCACGAAAGCCGGTCGAGTTCTAAAATAATGAGAAGGAAGTAAATTGCAACAAATCCTTGTCACGTTCGGTAAAGTGAACGACATCATTTTTAAAATGAATTCACTTCAGCGCTAATATCACATGGAACATAACCGCCAAACGGAAACATCAGCATTAGATAGCTTACGGACGGTTTCTACACATTTCTTTTTGGTTTAAGAGCGAAAATCATGTAATCTCGAACCTCGCCATAAATTTGCGTGGGTTTCCATAATTGGAAATTCCGGATACAAATACCGGAAGTCGTTGGTGAAAGAGTGTTGACTGGGTCTTTTGTGATTCACCGATGAATCGTTCGCGAATCAACCTTGTAAGGAAACCACAACACTTAATGGTTTCTTCTGTCAATCTTTTTTGCTAATGGTGTGTAAACATGATGAAAGGAAGACTTTGATAGCACCAGGATGTAAAACGCAATATCTAGAAAGACTGAGCGCAAAATTCAAATTATTGTTTATAATCACCAAAAAAAAAATTGAAGGCAGCGGGGGTCGGAATGTTATAAAACATAATTCAAAATGATGCACCACCCAAGTTTGTACTAGAAGCGAACGTGCTCTCCTCGCATAACTCTTAGAGTGATAATCAAAACTTGTTGCACATTTTGTCCAAACTCTGCCATGAGCTCGATGTCCATTTGCTCCATAAGTCTTTGTTTCCCTCTGTGATGATAGTAAAATCGGGCGAAACCCCGAATTAAATAGTACACTCATTACTAAGTGACCACAGGAGAGCCAAAAGAGGAAAATGTAAATCATTGCGCCAGAAAATCTGGACAGATTTATCCAAAATAGTAACAAAATGACGAGATGCGAGATTCTAATTAAGTTTTTCAAGATTTACGGAGGAAAGTCAATCATTCTATTTTTTCCCTCCTACACTTTACTGAAGAGTACCCCTGTACCCCCGCTACGCCTCTAAACAATGTCACGTGGATGTTGAATATAAGTGGTCCTTGACGCTGTGCTTGACCCAGGGGGAGGGGGCGGGGTCCGAACCTTGGCCGATCCCAACAGATTTGTGGTTGTTCTTTTAACTTGGCTCAAAGAAATATTCTCCCAAACGACGGAGTGTCTATTTAGCATTAAGTATTAAAAAACTTTGTGATTCTGCATTCGAGCGGGTTGCATTCTCCATACAAAAAATTCTAGGATCCGCCCCTGGTGCAGGTCAGTGTTGTACGTGTTTCAGTAAACAGGAAGTTCATTCCTTACAGACAATTGAAGCACGTGGTGAACACGATAAGATCTGCCCAGCCTTTTCTTAAGTGTTTTGTTCACCGCTTTTTTACCCCATGTGCGAGTTCAGTTATTCAAGGAAGTTTAATTTGTTTTTGGGTGGAGGAAAATAAACACAACAACAGCATAAGTTCTAGAATAAAACCCCTCCCTTTCGGCGAATTCGAAGGCCATCGCGCTGACATCGTTTTTTCCTTTTAGGTCAATTTTATTTTTGGACTAGTACAACGGACTTTGCCGAAAAGGAAGGACTGATCGCAGTTTACACAACTTCGTGATTAGTATTGGAGGCTGGCGACCTTGAATACCTTGTGTATTAGGTCAGACATGAAAGCACAGCAGGGGATTGATAGTTGTAGACATATTTTAAAAGCAAATAGTTGAGGGAATATCTTGCTAAATAGCGGTTGTGTGCTTCAAGTGACCGGAAAATTAAAAGTATCCCATTTTTTTCAGCCTCAGTTTGTATTGCCCTATGAGGGAGGTCTTTATTTGGAAACTTCCAAGTTAACTCATATCAAGAATTGCTCCGGGAGTTAAAAAAATAATGAAACAATTTTGAATGGTTTTCAACTCTAAGAAATTAAATTATGCCAATTTTTATGATTTTTAAAAACAACAGTTTACCAGATTGAGATAAGACCATTTTATAACATTGGCTTTCTCTTCCAAGGAATTACTCACAGGGATGTAGACTGGGGGAACTTTAGAGGTGCTTAGCGACGTATGGTTCATGGTCGTGCGCAAGCTTTATTATAACATAGCTAGTAAATTTGTCTAATCAAATTCAATTGCGCGAGCGTGCTTCATATTGCTATTGTGCATGCTCATGACGTCAGCAAACATATTCCTCGAGAAAAAAATTTTCCATCTGGTTGAAAATGTTATAAAACAATTGGTTCTCACGTCAGCTGTGCGTTAATCGAGATATGAAGCACTTGTGAAGTTTAGAGAGCACTCAAGAGGCTAGAGTTGCTCTCGGCTACGCCTCGAGCAGCTCTTACGCATCTTTCGTGCTCTCCAAACTTCCCGCGTGCTTCATATCTCGATGAACGCACGCTGATGTATGAACCAATTGTTAATTGCAGGCAACGCTAAGCGTCAAGCCAAGTCAACCAAGTGCATGCGCAATGGATCAATTTCAGCGCAAGCTTTACATGTAAAAGGAAAACACGACAATCGACCGTTGTCAAACAAAAACGCGACAAAAGACTGAAACGCGTTTAGAAATCTGTTATAGTAAACAAATGTGGGAAAGTTGAAAATTCACGAACTTGAACCTTATTTGGTAATCTTTTGATAACTTACTTTGTTTTGACTTTCTGAAATGTTCCCTATCAATGTCTGTTTCAAAAAATAAAACAAGAAAGGTAAGTGACCGTGCTTGTTTAAGATATGTGATGGACTAAACTAACCCCATTTATGCCTGTACTGGCACTAATCACGCGCGTCATTTCATCAGTTCAAGGTACATGATTTCCTTGATTGGCGATCGAGTTCCGCGTCAGCTGAAGGGTTGATGTAGATGAAATGCGAAGGATCGTGACTATTACACGACCATTCAGTCCGAAAAAGGGTTTACCGCTGACCGTTGTGCGCTAGTGGAAATCCACTTTATTGTCATCCAAGATGACAACTTTGGACGATAAAATTCTCGGTTTAAAAACCCAAAATTACGTATCGAGCTCTGAAAGTGAAGGAGAAGATGAGGATGATAAAATTATGGACGATGAAGACCCTAGAGACGATAACATCGATCTAAGCGATGTAGCAGCTCCTTCGGATTTTCGACTTGAAGTTCCGAAGGTGAAAGTTTAATCAACGTAACACTGATTAATTTTCTGTTTATCGCTGTGAAATATAAATTTACTCATTCCTCACCTCATATCGCTAACTGTATGGTTTGATAGATCTATGATGACGGATAAATAGTTGCCGCAAATACACTTTCTCTTTTGAAGAGATAGAAAGTTCCTTTCATCAACTAACGACCTTGTGAAAGCTTAAGATAACTTATTCTTATGATCGAATGTGCGTATTGATCGCAATTTTGTTGGATGTCTGAAAAAAATTGATAAAAAATTTGACAGCAACGGTAAGGTTTCCGTGTCACCCTATACTTGATTATACATGCAGTTCTCGGATCAAAGAAATCAATTGCAAATAGAGTTAATCTTTTCTGGAGCATCACAGCGGGCAAGAATCTTAAATCCTCCAATGTGATTGGCTTATAAGCTTTCAACCCGTCCAGTTTATTGCAATATGGACCATGGTCTAAAGTTTTTCCACATCATACATGACAAAGTGCTAAAAAAGTAAACCAGCTGAAACATAAATAAGTTATTTATCAGTCAGTCTATACCAGGAAAAAACTGTACCCTTGGTAACTCTCCTTTGGGTTGAATTAATTTGCAGAGGATATCCCTCAGAGTGTCAAGGGGCATATTTTGGCCATAGCTTGATAATTTTGATTTTGTCAACTGAGTTGATAATGTAAATTGGCCATCATACAGAGTTTCAAAGCTGACATGCTGACTTGCATTTCAAGCATCAGCACTTTGTCAGAGTGATGACAGAGGACTAATGCCAGAAACATCAGCTTTGAAACTCTTTATGGTGACAAATTTACCTTATCAACCTAGTTAACCCTTTGACTCCTGTGAGTGACCAAGACATAATTTCTCCTTACTATATCTATACAATATCACTTAGGCAAGTAATGAGAATAAAGAAAAATATAAATTATTGGATTACTAATTGATCTGATATCAAATTCTCCAAACTAGCATAATGAGAATCATTAAGCAGACTGTAAGGAGAATTACTAATGAGACTTAGGGAGTTAAAGGGTTAATAAAACCAAAATCATCTTGTTACACTCCTCAACAGATGCATCACCATAGTTCTATCAGAAACTTACCCCTTTTATTAAGCCCTTTGCCAGATTGGTTTTCTTTTTTTATTTATTTTCTGTTAACTCATAATTGATCTTGAGTCTTCAGACAGGACCAAAAGGTGTAATTCAAGACTATCGTCGCTATAAGCAACTTGAGACTGAACAGCGGAAAGAAAAAGAGAAAGAAATTAGAGCATTGGCACAGAAGTTTTCTGTCTCTTGCCAAAGCAGTGTAAGTTGTTATCATTACATAAACAATATGATATATCTAAAGTGCCTTTGGAAATTTTATAAATTCCTGGTTATTGATAATGCATGTCATTAAAGAACTGCCATTTCTTGTCCTTATAATAAGATAGGGTTAGTGAAAAAAGGTCCCTAATTGGCTTGTGATGAACTACTATATTCTCCTCTCAAATTGTCTCATATTCCCTCGTTAAACAAAGGGAGAAGTGGACATTTCATCTTATCTCATTTAACCCTTAAATTCATAAAAATGATTAACATGAAACTTCTCCTTATAATATTCATACATTATCCAACAAACAGGTCATGAGAATACTCAAAATTATCAGGTAGAAATTGTTATCTTGATCTAAAACTGAATTCTTATAACTAATTTACAAAGAAATGTGGAGCAGCTAGAGGGGAGAATTAACAATCAGATCTCGGATTTAAAGGGTTAAGGTCTTCTACCCACCTAACTCCTGGATTAAGCAAGGCCTCTGTGTAAATATCCACTTATCAGTGTAAGAACAAAAGTCAATGACCCGAGTGTGAGCTTACACATAAATCTGTAGATAAGTTTCAATATCGAAAGCCAAACAAATGCTGTTTTTACTACTTTCCATCTTATGAGGTTTCCAAAAGTATTGATTGGAGGATGTTTGTTAGTTCATTGCATGTTACCTCCCCCTTCCTGCCCAATATTTCAGTGGGCTGCCTTAATTTGATCCTTTTCCCCCTGAGAGTGACTAGCATCTAACATCTCCCTATAATATCCCCCCTGAATTACACGCAAAGGTCACAAGAATAACAAAAATGATCACCAACTAAAGAGACTCTTGATTGTTCAACAAATTCTCCTTGTCAGCACCTCTGGAACTCTATAGAGAACAGTATGGAGAATATGTATACTGATGCTAGGGTGTAAGGGGTTAAGTTTGGAGCTCCAACCACCATACATTATATATCAATGGACATGTTAGTTACAGTAAATAACTCGTGTGCATTTCAATATTTTCCAATTTTTTTTTCTTGGAAAATGTAGTTAAAATAGTAATGCTTCATTTCATGTTAAAGAAAAAATTTGAAAATAATGTCTCTTGAATGTCTACCTTATCCTTAAATAAGTTATTTAGAAAATGAATATAATTATATTTTTTGTTATTTACAGCTTGATGATGAAAGAGAAAAGGAACTTCTTAAGGAGCTAGAGCTCGATACTGATGAATTCATTCAACAATACCACTTACAAAGATTACTTCAGTTAAAGGAAGAACAGGAAAGAAGACTTCAATTAAACAGGTTGAAACACTTCCATTTTCTTATGATTAAAGGAAAAATAAGTAAAGAAATGATCCTCACAAGTAAACTTTGACTTTGACTGAGAAAACTGCAGGAAAAGAAGCTTGAAAAATTCCTTTCTCATTTATTTGTTTAACCCTTTAACTCTCAGAAGTGATTTACATGTAACTTCTCCCAACAATATCCATACACTATCCAACAAACAGGTAATGAGATTACTCAAACTTATCAGTTAGAGGTTGTTATCTTCATAATGATATGACACCAAATTCTTGTAACTAAATTACAAGGAAATGTTTAACAGCTTGATGGGAGAATTAACAACCAGATCTTGGGAGTTAAAGGGTTAATTAAAATATAGTAATCCTAAATTGTCATGTGATCCACCAGTTTTATGAGGAGTGGCTTAATGCTTTTTTTTTTCCAATAGTCCTCTCAACTTATTACTATTCATTTTGATATCATCATGAAATTTTTCCTTTTCAGCCCCAAGTTTGGAAAAGTAATTTCATTACAGAACAAGGATCAGTTTCTTGATGCTGTAGATAAAGAAAACCCAAATGTGATTGTTGTGGTTCATCTTTACAGTGAGGTAACATCATTTTAACCCTTTACACCCCAACATCAGTATGTATATTCTCCATACTGTTCTCTATACATTTCCTATGGTACTGACAAGGAGATTTTGTCTAACAATCAAGAGCTTCTTGAGTTTGCGATCATTTCCTTAATTCTCATTACCTTAATATTTGATTCAGGGGCGATATTGTTGGGAGAAAGTAGATTTGTTAGTCACTCTTAAGGGTTAAAGGGTATAAAAATTTATAACATGTCTTTATCCAAATCATACCGCAGTATTTTAAGTATCATGCTTAATTCTTAATTTTCCTTTTTTATGCTATAAGGATCTTCAAAGCTGTAGAGCTATGAATGGTTGTCTGCAGTGTTGGGAGAAAGTAGATTTGTTAGTCACTCTTAAGGGTTAAAGGGTATCAAAATTTATAAAATGTCTTTATCCAAATCATACTGCAGTATTTTAAGTATCATGCTTAATTCTTAATTTTCCTTTTTTATGCTATAAGGATCTTCAAAGCTGTAGAGCTATGAATGGTTGTCTGCAGTGTTTAGCCCAGCAGTACTCTCTGGTGAGAAATGTTTATCATTCTATATGATTTCCTCCTAAGAGACTGGTTATTTTTTATATAAAGGGGAAGAAGGAAAAATATGTTGGAAAATTTAGAATCAAAATTTCTATAAGTTGCTCCCCCCCCTCCCCCCACACTTTCCGGCCATGTAAATAGCATGTGACCCCCTTCTTTATTAAATATTATAAATATTAATGCAATGACCACCCCCCCCCCCCCTCATCACTTCATATCACCTCTCATATACCTAGTAATTATTAAAATTAGTTTCACACACAACCACAAGATGATTACTTTGCACAACACCACCTTGGGCAATGGATCACTCATAAAATGTACCTCAAACTGCTGACCCCTCCTTAGAATTTGTGATAAAAAGTTTACCTCCCCCCTTGAGCCAATCAGAAATAGCCATGGACCCCCTCTTTTTTTCCCTCCTTCCTCCCTCTGAACAAATAATGACGGGTCCTGGTTGTACATTTAAATTTGGTTTGATCATAATTGCTGTTTGAAGAACTTGTTTTACATGGTCCTTTTAATGTGGCATGGTAATAATATTCATGATTTTAAAATAAATTCTAATTATTATTTCTCAGAGAAATGATGTGTAGATTTGTTTGGTGCTGAAATGCACGCCTATTTCAAAGCAATTATGATGCATGTTATTGTTGCTGTTTTCCTTTGATTCAAATTAGGTCAAATTTTGCAAGATCATTGCTAGGGAAACTGGTATTAGCAGAAACTTTGTAAGTTTAAATTTCTGTACCAACTTTGTGAATTTGAATTGTGGGAAGTTAATAATTGAACCTCATAACGATCATTGTGAGTGTGTCCCTTCATCTTCTCAATCATGGACTGCTTTCTCAGCCCCACCCACCCCTCCCCATGGTCATCTTGATAGTCCATAGGTCTTCTTGTTGGGGTCTTCTCCATCTCAGAGTTAGTTCTTTTTCATTGCATTTCCTTGGATGGCTTCCATCCAAGGATTGGCAGATGATGCTGGTCACCTGTCAGCATAGAGTGTTCCCACTCCATCTCCACATCCCCTTGCAGATGTTGTCTGCTATGGCAGCATTCTCCGTTTCAGATGGTAACTGGTAAAATTTACAACCTGTAGTGCATCTTATGATAGCCTTAAGTTGCATGGAATTCTTCAAAATTCAACAAGTAAGACGATTGCTTTACCAGTGTAAATACTTTTTTAATCTATTGTGCTTAAGATAAAGGAGAACACTGGATAGGTAAAAGATGACAACTATGGGCTCTTGCAATTAGATCAGAACAGCCTGGCATAAACAATTCATTTAAAAAAATGTCACTTAAATCAAATTTGTGTGAACAGGTCAATTCAAATCTAAATTTGAAATACCATGCTGATAGACTGTTTACAAAATTATTAAAAACTTCTGAAAATATTATTTTATTAATGTTTTGACACCATTCATTTTTAAAGTTAGCAATCTGGCTAGCCAGTTTCTGCTAGCTGTAACCAGCCAAGGCATATGAAATTGTAAATATGTTTTCCTGTTTTGGCATTTATCTCATTTCATCGCAGACAAAAGAAGGCCTCCCTGCTTTACTTGTTTACAAAGGTGGACAAACTATTGGCAACTTTGTTAAGCTGGAAGACACCTTTGGACAAGACTTCTTTGCTTCTGATGTAGAGAGCTTCTTGATTGAGTAAGTGCCAACATGGCGGGGAACTTGACTGGTTAGTTAGAGAAGATTGCACTTAGATGGAAGTCTTTTAAGTCTAGTGGCCCATCGCAGCTCTGGCTCATGCAAGGCTCTTCAGCTCAAGAAGAGCAAGAGTATTGCTATTCAAACAAATTAAACTTGTTTGGCAGACATGGCAGAGATCTGATATTTTAATTCTGGATCTAGACTCAATCTCACCACCCACAAAGCCATTGCATCCATCCAAACTGTACTAACAGACTGAAATAATTTCATGTCAAAGAATGAACCAATGGATCTGTGGTTTACCCTTAAACTCCCACGAGTGATCAACATGTAACTTCTCTCTTTAATATTCATATGTTATCCAGCAAACAGGTTATGAGAATATTCAAATCTAACACTAAATTCCTATGACTCATTTACATGGAAATGTGTAGCAGCGAGAGAGGAGAGTTGATAATCAGATCTAGCAAGTTATAGAGGAAACAAGAGGGAGGTGTAAATGGAAACAGAGCAAAAAGTCCTCTATTGCATTTAATTGATAAATATTTCTCAGGAAGGACAGAAAAAGAGACACCACTACTGGGTTTACATACTCTTCTAAACACACCCATCAACTAATCAAAAAGCATGTAGTATGATAATGAAAATAATAATTATGATAATAATGATAATGATAATGATAATGATAATGATAATGATAATGGTAATGATAATGATAATGATAATGATAATGATAATGATAATGATAATACAGTCGAACCTCGATTATCCGGACCCTCGATTATCCGCACTATTCGATTATCCGGACTTTCTTCTCTGGTCCCAATTTTTCCATGAATATTAATTAGTTGTGATCTTGAAAACTCAAAGTCGCAAAAAGCCCAATAATCCTTTCAAAAGACTGTTAAAACAGCGTATTATCCTATGCGCTTTTCAAAATTTGAAAGTGCGACTAGTCAAAGAAGTATTCTGATGCGTTCAGCTGATATATGGTTGGCTCAATTGTTTTGTTGCCAAGGGAATTTCATGCTTGATTAGTTCCTTCTGCGTGGGTTATGTAAACACACGAGCGATTGATCGTAAACTCAAATCAAAAACATGCCTACGAAGCGAATGCTTGCCATTCTATTGATTAAAGATAAGCAGATAATTATCTCACATTTCTATATCATTAATATTCATATTTTCGATTATCCGGACTCTCTAAAATCGGAATATTTACCGAGGTCCCGATGAGTTCGGATAATCGAGGTTCGACTGTAATGGTTTATTAGCATATCCATCTGAGGGGTGGCTCTTCTATGCTACAAACTAACTACAAACTAGCTAAAAATCTATCATTATTACAAAAATTGATAATACTGCATATTGCATTTTAAATATAACAATTATCTAAGGCTTCTATGTAAGGATTGACTTACATATTTAAAAATATTGGTACTATCTTGAATATATTATATAAATAATACAAAATCATTGTTTAGAATAATGTCAATGCCTATGAAACTGCTTTTCCTCAACATGATACTAGCACTTTAAAGAACAGCTTATTACAGTTCACCATTACCATACATGTTCATCTTCAATGCAATTTCTTTTTCTTTTTCAGAAATGACATTTTAACTGAGGAATTGGAATGCCAGTTGACAGCAAGTGTGACAGCTAAAAAAGAGGATGATAGTGATAGTGATTTAGACATAGACTGACAAATCTATGTCTAACACTCTATTTTGATTGTGTAGTCTGAGAGTGGCCCTAAGAAGGATTGATATCAGTATTTAGGACTGAAGTTTCAACAACTATGGCAATAGTCACGATTTTATTCAATTTACTGTGTTGTATCACCTTTAACCCTTTACCTCTCAGAAGTTGTCAATATGTGTATGTAACTTCTTCCTATTATATCCATACGTTACCCAGCAAACTGGTAATGAGAATACTCAAACTCATCATGTAGAAGTTGTTATTTGTTATCTTGATCTAACACCAAATTCTTGTTACTAATTTACAAGAGAATGTTTAGAAGTTCTAGTGGAGAATTATCAATCAGATCTTTGTAGTTAAAGGGTTAAGGTAACATAGGAAAATATTGTTTTAAATTTGCAGAACTTTTGAGTCATCAGCTGCTCTGTTCTACAAATACAGCATACCCTTGGTTGCTAATTTAAAGCCATTATAAATTATTTGATAATAAGTAATATAATTTGCAGTTAAGCACACACCATAAGCATTTGTTATCATTGTAAAAAATATATATATATCTACTAAGTATATAAAGCTTCTAAAAATTGTTTTGCAACATAAACAAGAAAGAGAATTGCTTTTTATCAATTGTTTGCAACTGCAGCAAATTTAAAAGGTTGCACTCTGATGAAGAGTTAATGCTGCCAATCTATGTATCTACCTTTTGAATTTGCTCAGGAAGTTCAATTTCCTTTTATTAGGAGGAAATTATATTAATTAAAACTGCTTTGTGTATATATTTTGGGTTTTCTTTGTCATTTACCAAACATTTGTGAAGACATTCAAACTAAACTTTCAGTATACTGTGACAGGTCATTTTTACCTCTAACTTTCAAATCAAGTTCTGGAAGTAATATATTTTTATAAAAATAAAAAGATTTATTTCAATTTACTGCTCTATAGTAAACTACTTCTGACAGGTATTTTAGTTGCTATAATCAAATAAATGTGTTAACATCAATAGTAAGTATTCAGAATCTGATTCAACAGCCTCAATGCTTTTTCATCAATTTATCACTTTAACTCCCATGAGTGACCAAGACAGAATTTCTCCTTACTCTATCTAGACAATATCATGCAGACAAGTGATAAGAATAAGGAAAAATATCAATTATAGGATTACTTATTGATCTGATACCAAATTCTCCAAACTAACATAATGATAATTATTTGGCAGATAGTAAGGAGAATTACTAATGAGATATTGGGAGTTAAAGGGTTAATTAATAGATGCCATGTTGCCATGTGTCTGTTCAACAATTTAACAAAGATGACGTCAAATTATGATAAGAGTTGAAAACTGACTCTCAAGGCTCAGCTGAGTGTGTCACAGATGTTCTTACCACATTCTGACATCTTTTGGGTTCCCACTAGTGACCGAGACAGAATTTCTCCTCACACTATCAGTATAATACCAAGCAGACATGTAATGAGAATAAAGAAAATATCAATTAGGGGATTATTAGTTGATCCAATACCAAATTCTCCAAACTAACATCATATGAACTGTATGGTAGACAGTAAGGAGAATTACTTAGGAGATCTTGGGAGTTAAAGGGTAAAGGAACAGACCCGTAACAACATGGAGTCAATTGTTTTACACATTGTTAATGGAGATGTCATTTATGTGCATCTGTCCTCCAATAGATCATAGGTAAGAACAAATAAAAATGCAAATATAATTAAGCTTATTGTATGAAAATAAATAGATGTAAAAGAAAACTCCCTTGTGATATAATATCTTTGTGAACCGCTCATGAGAAACTCTTCTCTTCTTATCAGCTATGCCTCATATATTCAACTTCCTTGAGTTCTCTGCTCTCCTGAGTTCAGAGGATTCCTTCTTCCTCCACAAAACTAAATACTTCAAATCACTATTTGATCTATAAAAAGTAGACGAGGACTCCTCAAATGGATGTACCATTACTACCATCCATTTTTTTGCAATGAACCAATAAGCTCCTCAAGGGAGGGAGGAGGGGGCCATCAAATCCCCTGGGTTCATCCCACTGCGATTATTAGTTTTGTGTGTGTGACCTCATGCAAGTTTCACTGAATCTGCTCAAGTCTTTGAAGCATACAAACTTGATATTTGGCAACATTTTATGGTGTTGGTGGAGAAAGTTCTGGTCCAAGAGTAGGGTTGGCGTGGGGAACCCCATCATCCTATCATGCCCCAATTGCTTAATTTAATTTTTCAAAAAGCATTTCTACTCAAAAGAGATGGTGAATTTGTGTAAAAACTACTTTCTGAGTTATTTGAGCGATTAAAAATATAGACATTTGAAGAGATAACATGAAACATTATAAATATCTGGGCAGCGCCGTGTAACGCCGAAAAAATCCAAAAGGCCAAATTCGCGGTCACTTCCTCTAGTAATGTTTTCATGCGGAAGTGGAGTTCCGATCGCATGCAAGACTCTCTACCGAACATTTCCGACAATCTCTCGTGAGCTCGTCATTAAAAATTACACTACACGGTTGGTTACGATTTATCACGTGCTCTTTTCTCTGGGCTCAGTGATCTTCGCGTAGGCGATGTAAACAAAATGGCGGGTACTGATTGATCATTTATTACTACAATGTGTGGATTAGCGGTTGAATTGCTAGTTGTTCACGACCTGATGTCAAAATGAGTTCGATAGAATCAACGCTAGATGCCCTGACGAGCGTCGACTCCTTGGTCGACACTCTTAAAGCATGTATTTGGAAGCAAGATAAAGTAATACGCGAGAAAAACGAAGAGATTGAAATTCTCAGGTCGAGAGTGAAGGAACTTGAAAAGGAGCGAAATCAACTCCACCGTTATATCGCAAGGGAAAGGGCCAACAGCTTGACAAACGTCAACACTGGTGCAAAAAATATAGCGGATGGTGAAAACAGGTGAGGAAATCAGAGAGAAACAAGATACGTTATAAACTCAAAACAGGTCGCCTTTTCACTTCGAAGCTCAAATACTTCATGAAAAATTTCTTTTATTTTTACGCATGGCCTGAGGGGAAATTATTGCATATTTCCATAACATTTTTATATATATTTTTATTTTTATGCTGGTCGTATTAAAAAGATATAAACCATTTTTCTTCGGCGCCATTTCCGAATGGTTGAAAATTTTTTTTTGAAATTTAAGTACGAAAGTAAATTGCAACAGCTTCTACTAATTTGGCGCGTGGGCGATTTCTTTGTTTTTACCCGCGCAGACACGTGGAGCTACGGTCTAAAGTGCGCTGTGTTTTCATTTAAAATTGTTTACTTTCATAAAAAACATTGAGGTAAATGCAATGTTTATTACCAATAGATCATGTTGCTTTTATCCGTATACCCATTATAAATCACCAAAGTGCTTCAAATAAATAAACAGTGGAATTGTTTTTGATAGTAAGAGGTTATTTTTGTTGTGGAAGCTTGCCACTTACCAATTAAATGCTAAAAATTTCTCCCTATTTTCCAAACAAATATGACCAATTTAGTTTGACAGTGTCACTCAAAAGAACAATTATTTGAAACATTGTCAAGGAATTAGATTATTCATAAATTATTGACATGCAAATTCAATCCAAGGAAATGACTAGTTTCATGTCTTTCAGTTTCAAATTTTTGTCTGATATGTACCACAAATAAACTTAGAATGTCATTCTTTAATAATAAAAAAAAATAAAAGACCTTTTCCTTAGGTTTAGCTGTGAATATTCTTGCTTTGATTTCTCTGTTCACTCCTTTGAGTGATCAAGAATTAATTTCTCTCAATCTCAATATGATATCAAGCAAACTGGTGATGAGAATAAAGAAAAGTGTCAATAAGTGGATTATATTTGGGTTCAACTCTTAATTGTCAAAACTAAGATTATGGGAAATTTATGACAGATAGCATGGAGAATAATTATGACTGAAAAAGCCCTGTTTAAAGGAGTCTCAATAAAATATTATGAATGTAGAATCACTATTAAGATCTTAGTAGTGAACAGGTTTAAACCTTGCCTTAACCGAAACAGAAACAGGCTTTCCTTTCAGGCAGTGGAGATCAAAGAATTTTCTATCCCCTCTGCAAAAATCAATAGCTAAATTTGGGTTGCTTGAGCTACATTTAAATTCTTACTTTTTTATACTTGCATTCAAGGGTAGATTAAGTATTATCTTCAAGTTGGCTTAACTCTTTTAACTCCTATGAATGACCAAAATGAAGAAAATTTCTCTTTCAAATATCAATACAATATCAAGCAGACTAGTGATGAGAATGAAGGAAAATATTAATTAGGGGATTATCAGGGGTTTCAATAACTTTTTACATAAGCGGCTGCTGATGGTACAATAGGTGGTGGTGCGTTAAGGTGGAACTCAAAAAGGAGGGCCTCCTCACAGGCTAATGGTACAACAGAGAGTGGTCTAACAGGCGGCCTTAGACAGCTGGTAACTAGCTTTTATTGAAACCCCTGGATCATTAGTTGATCCAAGACTAAATTCTCTGACCTAACATTTTAAGAATTGCATGGTTGATAGTAAGGAGAATTAACCCCTTTATTGCCTGCATGATGTACTGAGTATGTTAGAGAGTAACAGTCAAATACCTGGCATTGGAGGTGTAAAATATACTCGCCTTTCAAACTCAAAACCAGTAAGAATTCTGAAGAATAAGTCAATTTGCGTTGGCCGACTCCTCAGTGGGGTTGCCACTTAACCCTTTAACTCCCAGAAGTGATTAACATAAAACTTCTCCCTACAATATCTATAAATTCTTCAGCAAACAGGTGATGAGGATATTAACACTTATCAGGTAGAAGCTGCTATCTTGATCTAGCACCAAGTTCTCATAACTAATTTACAAGGAAATGTGTAGCAGCTATAGGGGAGAATTAACAATCAGATCTTGGGAGTTAAAGGGTTGATGGGTTGATGATATTTTGGGAGTGAAAGGGTTACAAATGTATGATGAGTTAATTAGATTATGCCTTTTTTGTTAACTTAGGGCGGTGGACTCCAGAAAGATTTCTCAGGATACACCAGAGAGAAATAGCTCAACTGAAGGCAATTCTGAGGTCGTTACAACTCCTCAGACCCCAACATCTCCCATGATCACAGTAACAGCTGCAGAAACACCACAAAACTCTCCAAAACTAGTAAAACGTGATACTTTCAAAGCAGTCAAAAGAAATGACAGCTTGAACAGACAGAAATCATTTTCGAAAAAATATGAACTTAGTCCAGAACTTCAAGACAGAAGTGTGAAGGTTCTGGAACGACAGTATGGAGGCAAGGATACTGCTCATAAGGCAGCCCGAGTCATTCAATCATACTACCGCAAATATAGAATGGATAAACAATTTGAAAGGATGAGGGCATACTCAGGGTCTCCTTTAAAAGATCCATTTAGACCTAAATCAAACAGCGATCCTCGATCTCAAATTACAAGTCCCAGGACAGAGAATTCCTCACAAGCTCAAGTGACGCCTGTGCTGCGAATCACAAAGAGGAAAAGAGGAAGTCAAAGAGTCAAGTCAATACTTATTATAGACAATATCAACAGTTTATCTGGTGCAGAACCTCAAATGTATAGCAGCGAAATGGCATTGAATTCTTCTCAGGATAATCCTCCAGCAGATCTTACATCAATATTCTTTGGAGCAGGATATAAAACAGATGCCAAAGTGAATGAGCAAAGAGAAGCAGCAGACGAGAAGGTGGATACAAGGCTAGGAAGTGTCACTAGTGAAACGGAACATTATGTTAAAGTGGAGGTTATGGATAATGTGGAGACACTGCCTGACGATGCTTTTGTGGAGGATGATAAAGTGCCTAATAAGGTTCTCAATGGAGACCTGCCTGGGAGGCCAAGGAGAGACACAATCACTGATGATGGCTCGACCTATGAGAGTGATGACTCAGGTTTGATAACTGTCCTTAGTATTTCATAACTAACAAAGAAATCAAGGCACTTCATATTTGTTCATTTCAATTACACGCAAATTGCTAAGGTTGATTTTGTTTGTCAGCTGTTTGTAACCTGGTTGTGATCTTAAACTGCTTAACTCCCAAGATCTGATTGTCAATTCTCCCCTCCAGCTGCTTCTTATTTCCTTGTAAATTAGTTTCAAGAATTTTATGATAGATCATGATAACAACTTCTACATATTGAGTTCAGGTATTCTCATTACCTGCTTGCTGGATAATGTATGGATGTTGTAGGGGGACATTACATGTTAATCACTTCATCAATTATAACTTAACCTAGGGGATGAAATGAGAAGGGATCTCAGCAGTGTGGACAGTATTGATGGACTCTGCACATCAGTTCCTTCTAGCACTGATGATGACACTTCAAGTCTTTATTCAGAATTTGAATCTGGAACAAAACCTCAGAAGTTGG